CCAGCCGTGCTATAAGCACCTCTATATAGAATAGTTGCATCAATACCTCAAGCTACACCAGTGTTGATTTTGTTGAGTGTTTACATTGGAAGGAATAGGTTCATTCCATTTGCAGTGCTTCCATTTAAGAGACCAAGAGGAGGAGTCATTACCAAGTGAGGTGAAAAATTGAAAGGATGACTTTGTATCGTCGTCAAATAATGAGATCACTTTGTCACAGCGTTACCTAAATTAAATTGAGACTTGTATCATGTGAAGAGTTATTTTCATGAGGAATGGCTTATTCTGTATGATTTTGAGGGTATGTTGTAGGTGATTGGAAAGATATCATATCTTGAATCACACATCAAAATCATTAATTGTTTGTGGGTTGAATATAACTTATCCTTGTCTATATTATTCCTATGTTTAAAAGTCTCATTTCTATATACTTGTCTCAAAATCTTATGTGCATTAAGGCAATTTTGATATATAAGCTCAAAAACACTTGTGATATAGTCTCCATATATAAGCTCATCTAAATGCAGTGTGATCATTTTCACAGATATAATCTCAAAATGATATAAAAATACGAAAAAGTGAATATATGAATAATGGTATATAACTTATGCAATATGTGACACAATATATAGTAATATAAGATGACAATATAAATATAAGCAAATTAAAATTTTATTCATGAGTAAAAATTCATGTCTACTATAGTAAGGATAGTAAGCATGAATGTTATAAGAAGCTTGGCATTCTCTTGAGCGGAGATCTCCTCAAAATAAATTCAAAAAAGTTTTTGGCACTTTTCTAAATTTGCAGATGAATTCATTTTTCAGCTTCACAAAGACGTTCAATAGAAATTGGATGCTAGGTTAGTATTCAACTTATTCAACAACAGCAAATATTGTTTTAAAATGTCCAATTACCATATATCAGAAAACTTATTTCAGATAAAATCATGTGTAAAGGAGATTGTTACAAAAAACATAAGCAAATATTAACTTTTATTTCTAGTTAAAATTGTCTGAAATTATCTCAGTACCTCAGGCATCGCTACAATTTTTTTTGGCTATAGATAATTAAAATTTTGAATACCCAGATGTGGAGTAAAAGAAAAACTTGGAGAGAAAATACCAAATATAGACGAGGAAAAATTTTTGGTATACACAACATACTTTTTACACTACAGCAAGAGCATCAAGTTGCAGAATTACTGAAAATGCAGTATATTGATGTTGGAATCTCTGTCAAAAGACGACATTTGAAGCATATACTCTGGGAGTTCTACAAAAGTTTTGATCCAGAAATAAGAGAATTTCTGGATCGGCAAAGAGTGTCATGCAAGTTTGTAAAAGCATTCTGTCAAAGGAACAATCCCCCATTCAGAGTTATAAGGAGTAAGAAGCGTGAAAAAATTGACGCAACTCAAGTTGCAATATACATTCATGAATTTCGCAATTGCATGCTCAAAAACTGTAGGGCCAAGATATATAAAGCTTTTGGACATAGTTGTTCTTCAATATAAGACAAGTTGTGTTTGTGTGGAAAAAGTAGGATGATGAGCGCCTTCGGTAAATCATGCTTTTCAATCAAAACCAAAAGTTTTTTAATATATATATATATGATGGAAGTTTGACTGAAAAAGGATGTGAATCATTATTATGGTAAGGATGTCAAAATTAAAATATCAATATTCTATGTTTGTTATTTTTTTGCTTTTTTATATAAAAAATAAAGGCATAATTAAGTGTAACCTTTACAATTTTATCGTCCTTTTTTCGATGGTCATGAGTGTACTTAAAACAGTACCCAAGGCATGAAGAAAATCACAAAAAATTAGTAACATAAAGGCATTAATTTTTGAATTCATAACTCTATGATTGTTAGGGTTTCTTTTAGAGGGTATAATACAATTCAGATGTATCAACAACAGATTGTTGATGCATATGTTTCATCTTTTCTTTGAATCACAAAAGATTCGAAGAAAAGTTGAAACAAAGACAGACATAACAATGATATGTCTACCTTTGAACTGTATATGACAGTTCATATGCATCAAAAACAGATTGTTGATGCATATGTTTCATCTTTTCTTTGAAGCACAAAAGATTCGAAGAAAGTTGAAACAAAGACAGACATTCTTTTGTCATGGCTTTCTTTCAAAGCATATATTGCGTACAAATGTACCAATCTCAAACGTTTGGTACTTTTAGATCAACTTTTCTTTGAATCACAAAAGATTCGAAGAAAAGTTGAAACAAAGACAATCATTATATAATAATGAGTGTCTTTGATACAACTTTGAGAAGAATCACAAATGATTCTTCACAAAGTTGCATTATGAGCAACATTCGCTTGTTATTGTTGTCAATACAAGTGAATGTTGCACACAAAGACAATCATTATATAATAATGAGTGTCTTTGATACAACTTTGAGAAGAATCACAAATGATTCTTCACAAAGTTGCATTATGAGCAACATTCGCTTGTTATTGTTGTCAATACAAGTGAATGTTGCACACAAAGACAATCATTATATAATAATGAGTGTCTTTGATACAACTTTAAGAAGAATCACAAATGATTCTTCACAAAGTTGCTCAGTGAACAACAATAACTTGTTATTGTTGTCAATACAAGTGAATGTTGCACACAAAGACAACCATTGTCTATCAATGGCTGTCTTTTTTTCAATTTTTCTTCGAATCCTTTATGATTTCAAGACAAGTTGATACATATCTACTAATTCTTTGAGACTTGTACAATTCTAACCAATATATGCTTTTAAAGAAAGCCATCACAAAACAATGGCTTTCTTTCTATCCACTTTTCTTTGAATCTTCTTTGATTTAAAGAAAAGATGAAACATATGCATCAACAATCTGTTGTTGAAGCATATGAACTGTCATATACAGTTCACAGGTAGACATATCATTGTTATATCTGTCTTGGTTTCAAATTTTCTTTGAATTTTTTGTGATTCAAAAAAAGTTGATACATATGTACCAATCGTTTGAGATTAGTACATTTGTACGTCATATATACCCTTCAAAATTTCTTCAGATGTTAACTGATTCAATAAATTAATTTATTATCAATTTCAAACTACTCATCACATTCAATATAGCACAATAATGATAATTAGATAAATTCTTTATTTCCATATCCAATTATTTAGCAAATACAACACATATACAAGTCATTACGGTTAAAACAGTAACTTTATCATTTTTATATCTCATTCGATTTATTTTATCTAATGTTGAAATCATTTTCACAAACTCATATTATACTTTTAATATTCTTTTTAAAATCTAAATAATTTAGTCTAAAACGTTATAATAAAATTTGTAATTTTCGAAAATTGAAACTCGTCGTTTCAATTTTCGAAAATTAGGATTCTCGAAATTAATACAAACACTTTTTAAAAAAGCGTTTGTATTCAAATTTCGAGAATTTTTTTTTAATTTATCTTGCTCCTTTTCTCTATAATTTTAATAATAACTAATTCTACATGACTTTCCTATTGTGTATTTTATATTTATTTTACTATTAAAAAAACCGTTAACTAACGTACTTTTTTGGTGAATAACATTTTACTTTTTTTTATTAATTACTATCTCCTATAATCTATTTAAATTCATTTAATCATATTTGATTTACAAAAATTCATTTATTTTTGGTGTGATATGTCCTATCATTCTACTCCCCTTTTTTTCTCATCATCATTTTTCAATTAACTTACTAGTATCACGAACAATTTGCACTGTTGATATGATCTACCAAACTTCGGTCTTAATTCAAAAAGTACAAATTTTATTTTAAAAACAAACGTGTGGTTCCTAATTGGATATCTCGTTTACGATACTTTACTAAGAACACATTACATTAGAATCAAGCTCTAAGAATTCTAATAGAAAATTATTTAGAATTTTGCATTCAAACTTGACCCTATCATTTGAAGTTAAATTTATTAATGGTTTTACAAATAAACAATTTATACTCGATAAACCTACCTTTTTATCATGATTCGTTTTTTCTTCAAATTACACTTCAAGAGATCATTTTTATGCTATTCATCCATATTCAAAATGATTTATTAGGAAGTGTATGATTTATCTATTATGATATTATTTAAATATATTTATTAGATAGCTCAATATAATTGATTTATTATGCTCGAAACGAAATTTTTAACCTTATTCTATCGTTGACCCACCTCTGTGTTAGTAGTTTAGTATGGTTTACGACACTTTAGTTTTGATATATTAGTGGACTTCAAAATGATTTCAAAATTGAGTAAGAAAAGGGATATGTTTTAAAAATAAAAAAATATAGGGAACAGGACAAATTTGCCACACGGCACTTTTTTTAAAAAAAATTAATGGAGCGGAGCGATACTCTGCTGCAGGAGCCCCAAGGCTCCCAATCATTACGAAAGGGAGCCTCAGGGCTCCTGAGAATCCATCAGCAGAGGCCTTTTCATTTGGCCTCTGCTGATCAAAGATTCGGCGAAGCCATTCTTCGTCTCAGGAGCCCCAAGGCTCCCAATCATTACGAAAGGGAGCCTCAGGGCTCCTGAGAAACCTCTTTGAGAAGGTTTTCTTAAAGAAAACCTTCTCAAAGATGATTGTTAGCATTCACTCAAAATCTACCAAGAGTTTCAAAGTTTCAAATCTATCTGAAATGAAGCTTTGAATCTCTTGTATATCTAATTGTAGAGGTACCTTTTCAAAATGTCTTCTATTGATTAAATTTAATCAGTAAAAGTCATTTTGAAAAGGTACATCTCTATAATTGCTATTGAGCATTCACTCTTGGAACCTTGGAGCTCTTGTGTAGTGCATGAAAACTCCAAGATTCTAGAATAAAACATATATCATAGACATAATTTCTTCAAATATAATTTAAGGTTATTTTTTAAAAAAATTAGAAAAGCGTAATTTAAGGTTATTGAAAAGTGACACCTGGCAAATTTGTCCCGCACTCAAAAATATAAAAAAAATCTTCAAAATACAAGTACGAGTTTTCTCAAGTTTGTTGAGAATCCTCTGAAGGTGTAAGCTCCAATGAGATAGAAAATAATACCGAGAGCGAGTGAGAAAGGAAGGGCTGGGAGAGGTCTCTCAAAATAAGCTAAACATATGAGAGTTAGAGCAAGACCATCCATAACAGCGAGTATATCAAGGATTGCAATATCCCAGCCGACTCTAGCGGCTCTTGTAACAAGAATTCCGTAGAAAATGAAATCACCAAGGCCAAGTTTGACGCCTTCTGATGTTGGTGTGGATTTGGCTGATCCAGATTTCTTCTTCCTCTTATCTGGGTTTTCTGGATCGCCATGCTGATTATCCTGATTTGGACGTTTCTTCTTTGGCTTTGTTGGTTCGCCTGCTGGCTGTGCAAGTTCTGATTCGGGCTGTTGTTCTGGTTTTGGTTGTGGAGGAGGCTGGTCTTCAGGATTATTTGATAATCCGACAAATTCATCTGGATTTATAGGTAGAGCATCATCAGAACTGGCGGAAGAATCTGGGTCTGTTGACTCATCTTCAGAAGCTGAGTCATATTCTTCATCGTAATTGTCAAGATTTTCATGATCTTCACCTTCTTCGTTTTGCTCTTCGCCATCGTCGGCTTCTTTCCAGAAGAAGGCAGCTGATGAGTAAACAAGCGCAGGAATTGCGTCACCACGCTCTTGAGATTTTTTAATAAGCAAATGAAGCAAACCATTTGGACAAAGAACGACACAACAATCCCAAATGATAAGTAAAACCAGAAGGATCCATACTGTCCAGTCTGGTAATGTAAGGAAAACGCAAGCAGTCATTACTGAAATCCAGATCATGAATGCTTGAGTAACAATCGGTGGAGCACGCCAGAAAATGGACATACCACCGACAACGACACCATTGAGAAGGAATATTACGACAGCTATGTAATCGATAGGAATGTTGTAGAGAGATGGGATTTTTCCGACAGCAAGATAAACGTAGTATGATAAAAGAAGAGAAACGGCAACAACCATCCATACGTAAATACATTTGACACAATTGAACCAGTAAAGTAATAATAATAAGCCTGTGACTAAAGCAATAGCAACAATAAAACCGATAGCAATATAAATAGCAACAGCAGTGCTGACACCACCGCTACTTTGTGATACAACTGATGCGAAACTTGTTGAAAGAGCAGTATTATCGAATTTTTCTTCTAAAGTTCTTGTTAACCAAACATCTATTACTAATGTAAGGATAACAGGAACGGCAATCTTATAAATTCTCTTGGAATATATTTCAAGGAATTCATGTTTAGTTACTTTAATTGGCATTTATTAAATTTTTTTTTATTACTCATCAATTTTTCTTTTTATTTCAAAAAAATATTTTTGATAAAATATTTTAATTACATAATGGTGAATATATTTTATTACTCTTTGAAAAAGTGACAAATAAAAAAGGTGAAGTTTTTGACTTTATTTATGGAACCTTCTCATAATCTAATGCTATTTTCTGAAAAAGGAACTGCAAAAAAGATAGCTGACAAGACAATATGAGTTAGTGCAACCTTTTTACATCTAATGTTTGATTAAACCAATTCAATTCTTCTCTTTAGGATCGATAAATCCCATAATTAAGATATCCTATAGGATTAATTCATATTATTTGAGATTATAGCATTTATTCTTTGTGATATAAAAGATAACTACTCACGGAGCAAAAGTATCTGGCATTAATATTATATTATCAAACGTCTCAGCACAGTTATGATTTGTACAGTTCAGAATTGTATTACAATAAACAATCAAATCAGAACTAAATCTCACTGAGATATTTAAGTAAGATTTGATTACAGAGGGTTATAATTTAGGTATATTTGCATATAGAGTTAAAACATATTGGTTATCAATAAAAAAAAGCTTTATTATATTATAACTTAAAACAATTGCTTAAAGAGCATAGATATTAGAGATATATACACAATGTTTGATGAAAACTGTTTAGTATCCATCTCCGGTTTTCATCATTTTCTTATAAAGATTATTTTTTTGAGATGTCTTGGAAGAACGTAATTTTTCAATGTCTTCTTTACGAGACAAGAAAATTGGATCGTTATTTGATAATTCCAGACCCTTTTTGAGGTATTCTTCTGCGGCATTGAGATGTCTAAGTTGAATAAGCGCATCGAGTTTCCTGAGAATACATCTCTGGTTTGTTTGATCTTTTTGGAGGATTCTTTCGGCATAACTTAAAGATAATTTCCATTTCTTCAATTTTGAATAAACTGTAGAGAGATTCGAGAAATATTTATTGAAGTATTGATATAAGTCGTCACCAGAATGGCATTGTAAGATTTCACAACAACTTGTGTAAAGATTAGCTGCATCTTCGAATTTTCCGTTACGAAATGACTCACCAGCGCGTTTATTAACTTCTTCTGCTTGCTTTATTGCTTCTTCTTTCGTCATATCTTCGAGGATGTATAATAATTCGATATCCAGGGAGAGATTTGTATTTGGTGGAATAGATGATGATAAAACTTCTAATCCTTGAGCCAATGACTTGTCAATTTTTAATTCTGCTCTTTCGCCAACGTACATTGTGATAACTGCGAGATCCATTATGGAAATTTTACAAGATCCGATCTTAAAATCATATGGCTGATCTTTGTCGCGTGTCGAAACGATTTTCGTACCGTTTTCGAGAGATAATGTATAATGAATTGAAACTGTCTGATATAAACGTGGTTTTGCTCCTTTTCCATTACGTAGTTTGCATTTCAAAACGTTTTGGCTTTGATTCAATGTAATTTTTATCCATTCTTTCTTTTCAACAAATTCTCCTTTGAACATTTTGAGATTGGGACAAAGTTGCAATTCGGCACTTTTTGTAAAAAAAAGGGGTCATACTCATAATGAATAGAGACTTATAGCCAAGTCTTGATATCATGCAGGGAGAATATACATAGATAAGCAATTATATTTTATAGTAGTAGTATTCAGAAATTCTTACAATTTACAATACAATTTTCAAAAATGGATAAAGACTAATAGCCAAGTCTTGATATCATGCAGGGAGAATATACATAGATAAGCAATTATATTTTATAGTAGTAGTATTCAGAAATTCTTACAATTTACAATACAATTTTCAAAAATGGATAAAGACTAATAGCCAAGTCTTGATATCATGCAGGGAGACTCTCTACAAATACAAAAATTGATTATCATAAGGAAATACAAATTTATCAATTTTCATGTGAAAATTACATAAATTTGTTCTCCAATAAATAGCAATAATACTTTGAATGTTATATTAAGTAATATAGCTTCAGGTAAATAAGCTTACACTTCAAAAATATACTGTTTATTCATTAATTTTAAAAAAAGTCCAAATTATCTAATCTTGCTTACTCTTCCTTTAAACTTCTTTGTGCCAAATTTAATATTGCCTTCAAAGATGGAATAAGGACATTAGGTTCAAAAATATTTTATTATACTCATTCGAAATTAAAAATAATAAAATTTATATATATTAATTTCATTAAATCAAGGTTAAAAATCTCACCGGAAAAATAACCTCAGTGTGATAAATAAAAAAAAAGGTAATGGGGCTTCCAGGCACTTCGTGCCCTCTAGCCCCGAAGATGTTTAGTATAAATGAAGTTTTTATTCGGAAAATTGTTAGTCTTCTGGTGTGAATTCGGAGGACTCTTCTTCTTCCTCCATTGCTTCTGGGAAGAAGCCTTCTTCTGGGTCGAAAACATTATATAATGTGTCGCTTTTCACAAATTATATATGTTTTCATGTTTTGTCACTTTTCTGTCACTTTTCAGGAAAAAACATTTTTATTATTATATATAAATGAATTTTACAAAACCTCCGTTACCGTTCTTTGGAAATAAGAGTAAATGTAAAGATATTATATTGAGAGAACTTAAGAAACTACCGAATGGTCTAACATTTGTAGATTTGTTCGGTGGAAGTTTCTATATATCCCATTTGTGCCATACAATATTCCCAGACTCAAAGATTATATGCAATGACTTCGACAACTATATGGACCGTCTCAAACATATACCAGACACAAACAATATATTGAAAGAGTTAAAAGAAAAGATACCTATAGGTAAGATGGAACGTATACCATTAGATAAGAAAAATATTGTGAGAGAGGTTTTGAAAAAAGCAGAATATATAGACTGGGATAGTATATCTGCTAGACTATTATATAGTGGTTCTATAAGAGTTCATGACATTGAAACACTTATGTCAAAAGTTTTATATCTTAACTATACAAATGTTTTCAAAGAGGACATAGAAAAATATATTGAGGGTATAGAGTTTGTGAGATGTTATTGGACAGAGTTGTATGAAAAATATAAAGACAAGGAAAATGTTTTCTTTATAGTGGACCCGCCGTTCTATAACACATGGGATTTTCAATACCAAGTAGACTGGACTTTGAGAGACTCTTTAGAAACTTTAGACGTTTTACATAACCATCCATGCTTTTACTTTACATCCGATAAAAGTGGTTTGGAAACCGTTATGAGATGGTTAGAGACATACATGACTATGAGTTTAGATATGACAAGATAGAATATGAGAGAGGTCCTATAAACCGGAGAAAGTGTCATAACAAAGAAATTTTATTAGTAAGTAAATGTGGTTTGAAATAGGACTACTTGTTTTAGGTTTTTTCCATTGTGTCATTTATTTCTTTGACGTGGCAGAAAGATATAGAGAATATGAAGATGAACCAATGCCTGCAAATGTTCAGTATATGTACTCGTAAGAGATATTTTTATCTAATATTAAATGGACGCACAGAACTTAGCGAATGCACAGCAACCTGGACAACCAAACCCAGAGAATATTCCAAATGAAGTTAGAATACAAACTGCAATGGCAAACTATGGTCAAGTGCCAACAGATGTACAAATGCAAACTGCCATGTCAAATGACGCTGCGTTAGGTTTGCCACCATGGTATGCAAATATGAGATGGAAAGAGTTTTATACAAACCCTGAAGTGGGATATAAACAACTTTATGCAGATGACGCGAACACAGGAGTTGACCCAGAATATGTTTTCTACCAGAGGAGAAACAGAATGTATGAGCTCCAGTTAAAGAATGCTATGGAACTCAACAGGAAACGTAAGAGACTAGGCGGACATTAGATTTTTACATATAGTAAAATGGGTTTCTTCAGTAAGATAGGAAACTTCTTTCGAAATGTTGGAAGAGGTATATGGAATGGAATAAAATCTGTCGGAAGAGGAATTTGGAACGGTGTCAAAAATATTGGTAAAAGAGTAGGTCAGTTTGTTGGTATTATACCTAAAGACCCTGAACCAGAAGAACAAGCTCCTGTTATACAACAGCCTGAACCTGCACCACAGTCTAGTTGGCAACCAAATCCAACACCTCAACCGTATTAAAAAATTATATTTTTACCGTTCGATAGTAGTTGTATATGAAACTAAGTTCTAAGTAAAACGCATGGTATAATGGAATTATTCTTTTTCTTCCATCTGTAGTAAACCATACTTGAAAGTCGAGAGGTTATCGATTTTGTAATTTAATCGTCGTCGTTATCGATTTTGTAATTTAATCGTTATCGTCTTTTTCTAAACGTGCATTTTTACATTAAAAGCAATGCAACTCCAAAATTAATTGGTATTTAGATTTTAATTAGGTGCAGACAAACGAAATGCAGTCCAAATATTTTGGTGATATATGAATTACATAAATTTAGGGAAATTGAAATTATATCTTTTTAAATTTTTAGGAAAACAGATTTATAGAATTGTTTAAGTCATCAAAATAATGCAGACTTAGGTCAAATTTTCCAAATTTAATCATTTGCAAGACTTTCAAGCGACTTCAAAATGTCGAAATATAAGTCCAAAAATAAAATTACGATTACAGTCTATCCTCAATTAATTATCACGCTAATTATTGAGTGACCATGCGTTCGTATGTATGTAAACCTTTTAAAAAGGAGATGAGAGAGATAAACTACATTTACAATTTAAATCTGATGTTATTTACTTGTTACATTTACAAATGTAAATGTTTCTCGTAATGTTTACATTTTGTAAGTATAACGAATAAAAATGACGCACTTTTTTACAAAGTCAAATTATGCGATACAACTTTACTTGTTACATTTACAAATGTAATGTTTCTCGTAATGTTTACATTTTGTAAGTATAACGAATAAAAATGACGCACTTTTTTTACAAAGTCAAATTATTGTTCGATTTTTGCAGCTTGTAAACGATTGAAAAGATTTGTATTATTTTATTTATTTTTAAGAACATGTTTAAGAACCCTCATTATCTCCACGAATATTGCATATTTTTCTATTCTAAGAACCACCAAATTACGTTTTAATATAGAAAATAATATTTATGTGATGCTAAAGTCGAAGTCCTTAAATATTTTTGAAATATTTACAAAATATGCTCTTTCTATCATCGATACTTTAATACAGAGCAAATTTAGTAATGTCATCACATTATTTTTTCATAAATCGTTTTCGAACTTTTGAAATATTTATTTTAAACCAGTTTTCTACATTTAATATGTGAATTATATCAAAAGTAGATGGGCGATACTTGTAAATCTATTTAAACTATTAGTTTGCTATTATTGAAGAACTTTATAATTTTTTCTTATGTATGGAATTAAAGATAATTTTGCCGATTCCAACTGGTTTTTCTATATGAGTTAAATATGCCAAGTGAAATTGGACTTGCCAATATTGTAAATTGAAGTATGGACTATATATCGATTTTCATTGATTGATGAATAACTCGGAGTAATGTAATTGTTGATAATGAAAAATAGTTTTCAATTGCTGGTAAGGGCCAATGTATGTTCAATAGCTCCGAAAGCAAAAAATGCACGTTTAGAAAAAGACGATAACGATTAAATTACAAAATCGATAACGACGACGATTAAATTACAAAATCAATAATGACCCCTTGAAAGTCTGAAATACTTCCACTTGGTGGTTCGTATAACTTTGTAGGTTTTTCGTAAAAGTCATTTGCCAAGCATAAGAAAGAGTTTTGGGCGCCAGAAAATGAAGCATGAACAATAATAGCAGCTGGGTCGAAAACATTTTCATATGTTCCATTAGGGTTTTCGACTTCATAATAGTCTGGGTGTACTGGATATGCTGCAGGCTGATTTAACATCCTCATAAATCTATACCATGCCAAGTTGTTATATTTTGTAGAAATATAAACGTTTTCTCCAAGGTCTTCTATTTTATTGATTTTAACAGTTGCATTTTTCCTGTCATAAATAATATCGAGATGGTATTCTCCTTCGTCAATGTTATACTGGTTTGCATATTCGATATAGATATCGTTTTTTTTTCTTGAAAAGCTTGAAGAGTTGTTTCTAAGTTTACAAGCAAACTAACTTGTAAAAGTTTTCCCTGTTCAAATTTCTCATACATACGTTTTTCTTTGTTATAGTATCGAACTTCAAAACCGACCGTAAATGGGAAACCATGTATGGCTTCTGAAATGAACTTCATTCTACGAAAGCCAATAGCTTTTGTGACAGATGGGTCTCTTAGCCATCTTAATGGGTAGTCAAAACGATAGCCTTCATGCTTTACGGTCTCTGTCTCAAACTTTTGACCGACATTAGTAAAAAGTTCATCTAATGGTTTAGTTGTAGCAACTCTTGAATTTTCTTTTTCTATTGAAGCATATTTTATCTAGAATAAAAATGTCGAAAGATATTGCTTCCATGAGAGAAATACAACACAACCGACAACTCATTATGCAAGCTCTAAATAAGAACACAACAAACTTTCAAACTATTC